ACGGAGGTACAACGCAAGAAACTAGCAGAGCGCAAACTTCAGGAGTATCTGTACAACACTTGATGGTCATGTCGAAGAGAAAACACTGCTGCAGATCGGAGTGCGAATTTGCAGGCACCTGGATAGGTTTGTCAATACCGACCACTTGCTACTTTCGAACCCTGTCTATGCGGCACGACATCCCCCAAGCTAAAATTCTCCAAACATCTGTTCAAGCGGCTTCGTGGCTAATCATTCCTCTAATACTGTGCTCCGAAGCACCTCTTGTGCTGCCAACACTGCGGAGGCCGCAGCTGAGATGGCGGCAGCGGCCTTACTCGGTGAGTTGTATGAGTGCTGCTTTGTCCCTAGCCGACAGGGCACTATTTTTACAAACGATTGAAAGGTTGGTACACGACTTTCATGGTTCGGGCTGAAGAATGATTGGGAACCGAGGACGGAGTGGCATTCATTCCGAAAAAAACCTGCTGTCGAATTGAGCCCCACTACCCCTAAAGGATGTACAGGGCTTCCAGATCGCAGACCAATGAGTGGCCAACAACCAAGAGCTTCGAGAACCCGAGGCCTATTCTACACTCCTCCAAAACCACACAAGCCCAAACCTTTTTTAGATAAAGAGATCACAGTAAGAAACCCTTGAAAAGGTCGGTTATTTGGGCTTTAAAATACACCCAACCCTAAACCCTAATCCCTGGAGGCAAGGAAAGGGTGCCCGGCTGCTGCCCGTCCAGTCTCTGGGCCTCCTCGGAACGGCTTCGGTGAGTGTGCGATGATGAGTGCCTCGTTAATGAGACATGCTTTTTTTAGTCTCAGTGTTAGGGATTCAGGGATGACGAATATCCCAATATCCTCCTCATCACCAAAACCATTGTGACCTGCATGCCGCGATTATCACCATTGTCGTCGTCACCGTGTCCAACGAGTTTTCTTCTCGCTGTTCGAGCGTTGCTATGAATCAGTCGTGGCTGTAACTTAGAGACTCACGTGTTGTGAAGGACGATCTCGGGCAGCTTCTCCACGAAGCTCGAAGGTCGACGCGGACATGTGCGCAGATATGAGCCATGGCAGACTCTTTTAACCCACATTCGGCGGTCGTACATCGCCGTGCACCTTCTTTCGTTAGCTTGTGCCTTTTTTCCCGAGACTGCAAACAGTGACAAACACGTCAAATGAAATGGATCGAGATTAAATACCATAACTGTCAATCAATCGCAGGTGATCCCAACAAACATGCCCGACACGAAAGGCCCGGTGGCTTGAATTTTTGGCCGCGATAGAAGTTGATGTGTGCTGCGAGCTTCTGCACGACTTCGGGTGCATGAATTGTTAGTTTCTAGGGCCTGCAGACTCGGCTTGACAGGGAGTGTCACACCCCAAAACTTTGCACCACAGGGCCGCCGGTCAAATCTGCTTGCTGAGTTCCGCACGAGAAAATGCCACATCGATGTCCAGCGGGCTGCATTCCTCAACGGGTTCCTGGAAGGGCCAAGTTTGCAGATTATATACAGTTTACGTAGTATACAGTAAACAAACGGAATATGGGAAAGGGCCGAGTCTTAGCTACTGTTACTTCTGCTACATCTGCAAGCATATTGGAAGGCAAAGCTTCAATCAGCCAGCGGGTTGTGGAGGATTCCTTCTTGTCTAATTAGCCTCGCATGCAGGCCCTGCCGGAGCGCTTCCACTGACGACATCGCAGAATCTTGACATTGCATCATGAGGCGGTGCCTCCAACCCTCCCAAGCTTTCGCTGCTCAAACGCAGTGAGGGGAGTGCAGAAGGTTATGCGCGTACTTCTCCTCACTCTCTCTATACACTCTCGTGACTAATAAAAAGCCCGCAATAATTAGAACAGGGTTTTGGGGGCATATGATACCATTCATACTTACAATAAAGAACACACTGAAAATCCAGGACTCTCCTCCGCTTTTTATTTCGACACGATGACGACGGTTGTTAGCAGCTGCTACTGATTCTCGGTATGTTGCATGTTTCTGTATACTTGTGTACAAATGCCACGCAACATGTACATGGATGTGCACCAGACTGTGCAAATGTCTGCCCATCTATCCATCCCTCCATCCATCCATCGATGCATGTTCCATGTTGCTTGAGAAATGTATCGAACAGCTCACTAACTCGAGAAGAAACAGAGTTCTGGTAACCTTACGTTCGCTGTGCCTTGCCCCACTCGCTAGCCACAGCTTACATTGTCGCCATTCTAAACGTGATGGAAACGAAGCGATACGGTACATACTCTGCCAACTCTCGTGTTCCGAGTCGTGGAATAACCCTGGGTTGTGCTTTAAACCGATTGAAAAAATTATCTATGAATAGGTTCCCTTCATAAGGAAATAAGGGAAAGTAAAACAACACATCCCAAGGCACAACAACCCAGAACCAGAACCAAGAGCCGAGCCCGGGCTCCGGTCACAGCCGTGGGTGCCGGCAACACATCGTACCTTGGAGCTCACTTGGAAGGGCGGGGGACTTAGTAAGTAGGTTATAAGTAGGGTTATAATTGGGGTAGCTCCATTTAGGGTACTGATAACTCTACTTATAACCTACTTACTACGTCCCCTGCCCCTCCAAGCAAGGAAGCAAGGTTTGTCTGCGTATTGCGCATGGCAGAACGGCAGGCTTCAAAACAGCTTTTCTGGTAATTGCAGAACTTTTTGCTCGAGGCCACATGCGGGCTTCGGATTGTGGCGGGGTATCTTACCGAGAGGGCAGGTCGTTATGCCACGGATGCTACTGTTTGGGGGCCGCATGGGGGTGACAACTGGAGATGTGTATGCCGATTCAGTCGTCAGTGAGAGAGAGAGTGAGAGAGAGAGAGAGAGAGACAGACAGACAGACAGACAGACAGACAGACAGACAGACAGACAGACAAACAGAGAGAGAGAGAGAGAGAATGCAAGCATCCCCCGAGTTTCTCTCGCATGCAGCGTGGTAGCGAAGTCGGTGAGCTTACTCGAGGTGCAGATTTACCTTCTCCCTGCGCCCCCCCCAAGCCACAACCTGCCAAAACCCTGATTATATAAGACCTCAATATCTCTGCAAATCTTAACCAAAGCACTGACTAAGCCTCAGGTATAAGTCTTGAATTCCTGGACACTCAACTGAAACCGTGGGCCCACCAAACAAGTGTCGAATCTCCGAGCTCCATGCGGCCAGCATGGCAAGGACCTAGGAAGCTTCAAAAGCGCTGGACATTTCTATGGCCGTTGCTTTACTGGGTTCTTGCTGGGGCATGAAAGTTGAGTTACCATAATAGGGAAACCGTATTAATTATTTACAATAACCCTATCATAAGTAGCTGAACTTAATTTCCTCGATAAGAACCCAGTTTGTCGGCCCTTTCGCCCGCGACAAGAAGTAGGCAGAAGGCAGCGTCTCTTCGATCGGATCAAGTCGAGCTGAAATGGGTTCAGGGTTTACAGGCTTGAGTCTGTAGTCCGTCTTGCTCAGGATATAGTTTCCCGTATGGGCTTATGTTCGGAGCTGGCACAAGCTGGGCTGCAGTTCCGGTTGCTTCGGCTGATCCACAGCCGGCAATCGGATGCAAAAGCACTAGGACTCAGGTAATCCTGTTGGGATTTCCGAAAAAAGACACATGGCAGCTGCCTTCGGCGGCTTGAGTCGAGTATGGGCATGCCCATGGCAGCAGAGGAGCTCAGGAGTCTGCAATTTAGCCAAACTCTTGCGGCCCTGGCTTTTAAACACTTGGCCAAATATGAACGGACCGTTCGTACATTGGCCACATCTCGTGTTCCAGCACTCCAGCCGTCGTCCTTGAAGTTGCCCGGTTGCTCATAGGTTTCGGTAGCATTCACCAAGCAACCTTTGTTGCAGTTTAGAAAGGTGATCTTTGCTATGCCCGGGACAAATCTAAGCCCTCAGTTGATGCTAGAACATGCTGGAAGCATTAGCATCATCAGTAACAAAACCATGCATTCCCTTCCAGCTCATAATCGGAATGTTGACTTGGGCCATCTCTTGTTGAAGCCAAGCTCGGTGTTGCTGGCTAGGCCGAAACCCTAAACGGCGCTAGACCCTGCAGGAACACGATCTGGGCAGAACAAGGCTCGACCCTCTTTGGGGGCTGCTTAGCAGCCGAAAGAAATCGAAAGAATCACCTTCACTGAGGGTTTAGGATTAGACCTACACGCCGTTTGAGGGTATGTCCCTAGAAAGTGGGTAGCGTTTGTGTTCCACCCACAAGAAATCCTAACATCTTGGGCGGTGAACGCTTGAAGCAACTATTGGATCGATGTAGGTGGTCTTTCTCAGGAGTTCCTGTCTAACTCTAGATTCGGTATGCATTCAGGTCTACCATGCAATCCTATAGATGTCTGAAGGGAACCCATGCACCCTCATTTCGCGGATGATATTGAAAGTCGTGACATCTGCAGGCTCACCGCGATCTGGTTCTTCTCATCCAGGCTGGTCGACCTGTTTGCTCCGAAGATCTCTGGTTCCAGTTTCTATACTGAACTTAGAACCCTCCCAAAAATTGTAATTTTAGCTGTTTCTTGGGGATTATAATAACCAAAAACTAAAAATCATTTCTAAGTACCCCTACGTTTAAGGTCTTTGGAATGATGTCCACAGAAACATCAGGTGACTTCGCACATGGGTTGTGAATGAGTAGTAGGGGTAAAGTCGGACACTGGCATTGTGTGTCTGTGAGTCCATACTGAGAACCTGCCAGTCGTCTGTCCCGGAGCCCGGACGTGATGCTACACAGTTGGTGTTGGAGTAATGACATGATGCTCAGCACCAGCATGACTACTATTCGGACAAATGCGTAATTCCTGTTGGTGCTTGGAGCATCTTTCGACAAGCGGTCCGAGTGTTGAGAATTGAACCGAAGACTGACGTTCTGTGAAATAACACATAGCAAGCTCGAAGGCGCCATACGCCCAGATGCGGGGCTCGGGGCTGTGAGGGAGTTGCAGACAAGCTTGGAATTGTGGTGGCCCTAATAATGTTAGCTGCTAGCGACCTCTCAAGAATCCAAGAGGCCTCACCCGCAGCTTTTGGCACTTCAAAGTGGCTTGGCCAAGATATGGCAGCTCAAAGAAAAGGTCCTGCAACATGCACGGTGCGTCTGAGTGGCACCTGCACACCACCACAAGGTCCCAGACACATGTGCAAGACGTGGTCACAGCTTGAAAACTTTTTCATCCTCAAGGTATTACAACCGCTGGCACGTCGGTCTTGCAGTCAGACGATTGGCCAGTCGCCGGACTGTTCCAATGTTTCGGGATCCCATGACTGCTTCACGAGATACGACGAAGGAACTGTAAAAAGGGACCTGTAATCTGACCTGTACGGCCCCTCCGATGCTGGGTTTAGGGTGTTGGGTCCTCTTCAAAGCCGCAGGCCGTCTGCCCATTAAAGGCGGCGTTTGAAGATTGGACAAGCCAGTGTAGGAACCGGTCCTGCTCGTCCTCAGATCGGACTGAGCACAAACAAGGCGTAGAACCAAAATGCACTCCGAGCCCTCCACCACGGGTAGCTGCCGTGAGACTGACCTCCTTACCCAATATAGAGGCCTTTATAACTTAAAACAGTGTTTAGGGGCCCTGTATAGTATAATTATAATCAGGAACCCCAAAATACTATAGGTAATCATTCAGGCCCCTACAGTATGCCGAAGCAGTTCCCTTGCAATGAACTCGGAAAGACAGCTTCACATCAGCTCACGCTTTGTGTTCGGAGTGTGGTGGCCTTTGAACCTCTTTTGGCCACCAAGCAACCGAGAAGTAATCTTACCAGTACCACAATTAAATGATCAGGTCGAAACTAGGATCCCAGATTCACGGAGTGCTGCAAAACTCTCCACGGTCTTTGTCCCAAGCTTGAGAGCTTCCCAACTCCGCTTCATTCCCTCTCTCTCTTTCTCTCTGAACCGCTCTCTCTCTCTCTCTCTCTCTCTCTCTCTCTCTCTCTCTCTCTCTACCTCCCTGTGCAACGACCAGCTCCGGCCCGCAAGCCAGCCAAGTAGAGCTCAGGGACGATGACCAGTTACCGCTAATGGTTAACAATATCGCAATGGCTTGCTTCTCATGTTATGACTCATGTCATGAAGCCTCAGGGCCTCATGACTGCTCTTTCCATTAAAGCTGATGATATGATGTACTTGCTGATATCTCGTCCAGGGCTCGCTCGCAAAGAGGGGGCGCCAGGGCGGCTGAAACGTCCGGGCTCCTGGAAACTCATTGACAGCTCTTTTGGCCTACTTACCCAGGACGAAGCCCGCATTGCAGGGTATTCGACGGGTCTGGGGTTTAGGGTTTCGGGGTTTCGGATTCAGGGGCTTAGGGCTTGGGGTTCAGGGTTGGGCTCGCGAAAGTTTACGGCTAAGAGTTGATCCACGTTCTCGCATCACGTGCACCAACCCCGACAGTGAACATGATCATGCTCATCCGAATCCCTGCCAATCAACACGCGCAGCTACCATGCAGTATGCATGAGCATGCTCATCAATTTTGCAACACATGGAAACCTTTAACGCGAGGTGCTCATGCTCACGAGCACATGCCCAACAAGACCTTTCTAGCTACGCAGCTCGAGGCATTCAAGGTCCGAAAAATCTGAAACTTAACAAACTTAACGTGACCCACAGTCGCAAGTTCCAGCATGTCGCCAACGTTGCGCAGCGCCAAACCTCGGGCCTTAAACCCTCGGGTTTTTCTGCTCCAAAGCACAAAAATCTGTCTTAGTCTGTCTTGTCTTGACGAATGGGTCCAATTTCCCAAATATTCAAAGTTTAGAAATTAGATTGTGGACCCTAAACTTGTTATGGTGGTCTCTATACAGAACACGTTTTTCCGGCTCTGTTTTCTGTTGGAAGCGGGGCTTCCGAAAATGTGTCTCCCGCGACTCTACTGACACCTGTTAATGCAAGGCTTGTCCGGCCTGGCTTTTTGTGAAGCGTCTGAGCACTGAGCACTGTTTCTCATACTGATTACTACTAATTCAGAGCCGGGCCCCAGATAAACAAGATCACTTTTTCTTATGTTGTTGTAGTCGGAGAGGGGGGAACCTCGGGATCCCTCTTGGCACACCCCTCCCAAATCAGAACACCAAGTAAATCTTTATGCAACTTCTCCCCTTCGACTCCCTGCTCTTGGTCAACACACCTGATGTCTCACAACCCGAAACTCCACCCAGTATCACAGGATTCAAGCCTGATTCAGGACGAGGTAAAGTTTGCCCGCAAGCGATAAGTTAAAACTGCAGTTGACAAAACAAGGCAAAGCGAAGTCAAGTCTTGTGCAAAAAATGGCAGATCGAGACACAACGACAGAATAACATGTTTATCATCGTGAAACGGTGGCGAATGTTGGAGATTGCTTTCCGTTTGCGGTGTTTCGGAGCAATTCAAAAGATTTCTCGTAGACTCAATATGGTTCGAAAAAATTTAACAAGATATACTCAGAGTTTACCTGGTCATGCCACGATTTCATCCGTTCTCTTCTAATGTTGAATATGACATAGTAAGATTTCCAGGGGCGCGATGCACACTATCTTCAAGTTGCAAGATAATCGGGATTGATGTCAGGTTTTGCCGGATCCAGTTCGACGAATATGTACGCCGTAAGCCCTGAGGTTTGACAGGGGACCTAGGTTTCAGATGCCACAAAGCCACGATTGAAGCATCTCAAGGAACCTTAAATTCAAAAAATATAAACAGTCTACTCAAAACAAGACGTTTGACAAGCATCCTTCAAACCATCTGTCCTGGTATGTGCACATCCACCCCGCCGGCACGGAACCCCGAGGCATCGCGGTCGTCTACGACAACCTCCACACTCAGTGTCCTTACGCTGGGATCCAGGACGTCGGTGTTGCCTAATTTCGGGGCCTTAGAAAATAAGAATAGGATTTTGGGGCCGTTATACTGTAATTATAATAAGGCGCCCCCCAAAACAGCAGTGGCAATCCCTACAATAGCTTCGATCCTGGTTGCAGCGAGCCGTGATGGTTGAGGGATTTCAGGCTAAGGATCGGTTTGGAGCATTGGTGCAGCAGCTCGGGTATTCCCTAAGGGTTCATGTACCCGAATAGTTCATACTTTGGGCCCGAAGTACGAATAGAGGGACTACTTTGAGGCCAAAGTATATACTAAATCGACCCTTAAGGATGTTTGGTGAGGCAGAAGCCTCTTTCCACTCCACGTGTCAGTTTGATCAGGAATGTGTCGTGCTAATTTTTGCAACATCGCCGGTTGACTATGTGACTAGGGTGCCAATTCCGTATGAAAGGCCGCGATGCGCTTCAGCAGGCAGCACCATCCACTTGCACTGCTCATCGACAGCGTAGAGGGCCGTGGAAACAGAGGGCGCCTAGGTGGCGTGGAGTACAGAAAGGTTCTGGTAAGAAAACACTAAAGCTGTCATAGGTTAACAGAAACGGTTTGCTTTTGTACCCTCAACATCCCGCGAGTTTGAAATTGCTTCAAAGCAGCTGGAGACGTGTAGAATGACTGGAGCACTGCTTCTGGCGCATCGTCCAGTTCCTGCACCCGACCAGTGTGACTTGAGGCCTATATGCCACACAATTTCAATCAAGGACATCGTAGGTGCCGTTGCTCTTTTATGCAGTAATTTCACTGAGCTTCCCTACCGTGTGAACTAATACTCTAGCAAACCCCAAAAGAAACGTGCGACCGTCTCTCCAATACCTGTGGGGAAAGCTTCATCAAAATCCTCTCCTTGACGAGCTCTGACTCTTGCAGATGGCTCTCAGCATCTTCGCTCAGGAAGCCTGATTTGGCACTCGGGCAGCAATATTTAGGTTTGGGATTCAACTTATCAGGTCGGATGTGTCGGAAGCTTGTGCCTGGCGGATGCTACGCCGGGAGCAAAGCCGATCAATTTCAGAAATGAAGCCTGATGAAGCCATCGAAACAACACCTGTGTAGCCACACCTTCCGAGCATGCGCAAGAATACGGATGCTCTTGCAGAGTGACCATCACCCACCCAGCAGCACTGAGAGAGGTCGAAGATAAGCGGAAAGCTCAAAAGCCAAAGGGGCCACAGCATGAGGGAACATGGGGCGATGGCCCAATGCGCGTTGTTGGAATCCGTGTTCAGTAATTGGCAACCCGAAACAAGGAGACACTAAATTTCGCCCGGAAAGGAACTACGACGAAGGGTTTTAGCTGCTAGCTGCCTGGGGCGCGCCCGGACTCCGAGTCTCAAATCAAGTCCAGCTGTCTGTGAGCAGCACTCAACCCAAAGAGAACCTCTTGCAGTGTCAAGTGTCGGATCTTGAACTGATTCTCAATCTCCTTCTGCAGGCCGTTTAGCATAGTCCAGATCTGCCTGGGAAAATCCACGGAAACTGAACTAGACTTGCTGACTTTTTTATGCCGCCTGAAGGCTAGGCTGCACACGAATACTTCTTTCCTTGCGACCGCGAGTCAACACTGCAACGGAACATTGCCCACCGAGCTCGTACTGCAGCTCCGGGGCTGGATCCGAGTCGATGCGCAATGCACGGCCTTCTTGAGGTCCTCGATAGCAAAGTCATGCACAACCAAGGAAACAGGAAACATGGCAAAACATGATCCTAGACCTTGCTCTGAAGGCTCCGGTCGGGGAATAGTCATGAGGCACGGTCAGAGATCTTACATGGATGAGTGCGCATGTGCAACTCAGTCCTGGTTGGCCGACCTGAGCACACGCAGGGCTGAGCACATGGAGGGAGCGCAACAGCTTTCTCGATCGGTGAGCTTTTTGTACGCCGAGCTGGCAGTTTTCACAGCCATCAGCACCACCTCTGGCACTAGTTACCCCTGTCAAGGCACGAGGAAGACGCGGCCCTGACAGTTGTATCAAGCCTAAACCCTAAACTGCCGAGAGCGCCGCTGACCATTTGATACCATTTGCATGGGCGCTCGAGGCTCCGACCGAGGGGACGGTGCGCCCCCATTCCTAAAGAAGCGCACCCACCGCGCGCACTCTGTATACACACCCCAAGCCCTTTTACCTAAACCCTAAATCCAGGATCCGGAAGAAGGAGCCTCTCCCCAAGCCGACGAGGCACACCTCCGACTTTGCCAGCAGCAAAGGTGCCTTTATATGCCGGAAGACCAGAGCCTCAGTCTGGTTTTCGGTTTAGAGTTTTAGGTTTCGGCGCTCACACTCAGGGACCTCCAGTTTCGAGAAAGGCTATTTCAAGGCCTGTTGCTGCAGAGATTGGAAGCTCAAGGGCCTGAAGCACTCGGGGCTTGAGCAGCGGCAGGGCTCAGGGGGAGCTGGAATCGAGAAGTGATCATGGCAGTCGAACCTGGCAAACCTGAACCTCGGATTTCAAGTGTGCATTGGGCCTTGCTTTGGGGCATCAGCTCGGCATGCCTATAACAACCCAACATTGCTGAATATCCAGGAGGCAATGCACTGCTCCAGCTGACCTGAATCGGAACAGTGCAGAGGTAACATAGGGACCTTAACAATTACAACAGAGTTTTGGGGCCCATTATACTATAATTACAAGAAGGAACCCCAAAAACGTATTGGTAATGATGATGCCACTGCTACTGCTGTTCCTCCTATTGCTTCTGCTCATGCTACCACAACTACGACTACGACGACGACTGCACAAAAAGCTAATATAGCACTAATAACACGACGACTGCTCCTACTTCAACCTTTGCCTCTACACCGCTACCTCTCCCTCTACTTTTCTACTGCTACTACTACTACTACTACTACTACTACTACTACTACTACTACTGCTACTACTACTACTACTGCTACTGCACAACCAGTACGATGACGACTGCTCCCACCACTACTTCCTCTTCTGCTACTTGTCTATAGCGGTGAAGCACAAACAAGCGTTCAGGTCGAGCGTCGCTTTTGCCTCTGCTCAGTCAGGGTCCGCGCCCGCATTGCTTCGGCAGTTGCCTGTATACAAGCAGCAAGCGGATTTAGGGGCTCAGGCTGTCGGGTTTAGGGTTTTCGACGCTCACACTAGCACAAGGCTCCACTGGGTTTAGGGTTTAGGGGTTTAGGGTTTAGTGTATCTGAATTGAGTGGGGAAGGATTTTGGGGTTTAGGAGATGACAGGACTGGACTTTGGGCATGTACCGAAGCCCGGCTCCACAAGTTTTGCCAGAGTCCTCTAGTATTTCAGGGCAGGAGGACCAAGGGTCGGATGTGCGGTGCGGTCGAAAATAGGTCTAAGACCGACGCTGTCGAGGAGCCTCGGCCTGTAAGGATCTCTACTGATGAAGTTGTTTGACGTTGAGGCACTGCCCAATTTCCAGTACCCCCCCCCCATAGTAAGAAAGGTTCGCCACCAAACAAGTAAGCAACAAGACCGAGTTGATGTAGCATAGCGGATGCCCGGACTAATTACTGACGCGACCCGTATCAGCAGGGCGGAAACGTGTATGTATATGTATGTGTATATATGTATATAGGGCGCATGAAACTTCATGTGATTGTGTATGTACTTCTCGAGCTCTGCCACAAGTATGCAAGCTGATGGGTCATCGCAGGTTATCGCCGAGAAGCCCGCAAAGCCGCAGCTCGTGTCCTGACCGGCACACTAGAAGCTCGCAGATTGTTGCATCCATGTTCAAACTCAACTTGGGACGAAGCAAAGATTACATGTTCGCGGCCTGGGCAGGAGGATGATGCACCACTAACCCGTCACCCCCGGATCGCTGAGCGCTCTCGAAAGCTCAGGACAGGGTAGTTGCGACACGCCCGCGGCCGAAGAACTATACGTGCATGGCTGCTGAACCCCCGTTTGAATGAACGCATGGACGTCGCTTGTCCTTTCCAAGAGGATGTTGGTGATCATGATCACGGCGAAAACCATGGCTAGGTCGATCTTGCCCGACAAATTCCCGGTGCCTGCCGGATAAGGGAACCATCTTTCTTCACCCCGGTGGTTTTGGGGTTCCGTCTGACGGCAATTGATGGCACCTCCAAATAACACGTCATGCCAGCTGTGAAAAATAATATTGTAGGTACTAGTACGTCCTCGTCTACCTAAACACTGCCTTCCACAACTCTCCGGCAATCGCCCACAAAGTCCTCTGTTCACCAGCCCCGATCATGCTTAGCTTTTGAGATGCTAGCCGGGAAAATCCAAAACCAACTCAGAGCATGCTCCCGAAAGTAACGGGCCACCTCTCTGCAGTCACAACATGTCAACAGAGCCAATACATGGATGGATACTATACAACAAGTCGGGACATAGCAAGATGATGCTAACCTCGGGGTGAACAGTGTGTCGGGTACAGGGCATCGACAAGATGTAGCTGGAACTGAAGTCTAGTTACTGAATCTCCGCATCCTGAACACTCGAGGCACTGGCACCTACAGGGCAGAATAGCACCACAACCACATCGAAGATGGCGAGGCAGGCGGGATGCACACCTTTGCCATTGACCATCGGGTACTGTCTGCAAGATCTCTGGGCATACTTCCGGCACTCTAGGAGTGTACTCTTCGTGGCCCCATGGTCAAAGAGTTAAAAAAATAGATATCCCAAATTAATGTAGGGGCCTGAAGTCTCGAGTGCTCGAAGACACCTACATCTTCAAAGACTTCAGTATAGATTTCACAGAAACCTATCTCAAAGCCCTCAGCCCGAACAGTGAGCTCAGCTTGAAAGGCCTGAGGCCAACGGCCAAGATCCGACCGAGCCAGAAAACCAATTTAAGTTCAACACGGGACAGCACCCAAAGATCCCAATACCCCTTAATTAAGGACAAAACCTGAAATTTCAGGGGGCTTAATATTATGATTTAAGGGATGTTCCTTAATTGAAGGGTATTGGCTTCTCTGGGCAACAAGTCGCCCCCCCACACCTTGCGTTGGCAGACGCTCAGCCCCGTCAACTAATGTGCCACCCACGTGGCGATGTACTGCAATGTCGACACTGCTTCTGTTGAACACTCCAGCAGGAGTATGGGCGTAGAAACTGCGGCCCAAGTGCTCATAAGTAGCAAGCAGTGCTCCCAGAGAATGAAGCCTGAAGGGGGTTTCGGGTTTTAGGCTTACCTCAAAGGGTTCTAGAAGGGTTCCGATAAGGTTCTATAACGGGGTTTGAAGGCCGACTTGCTGATCTTCTTTTGCAATTAGGAGACTAGGAAATTCGCGCCAGTCGCCGGATTCAAAGTGAACACCGGAACAGCTCCAAACCCCTCAAGGGCTGGAATTCCCTACACCCCAAACCCTAGACCCTCTGAACCCAAAGCCCTCTCAAGGGCTGAATTCCAGAAGGCCCTGGGCCGGAGGCCTCGGGCTTTTGAACAAAATTTGGATTGGAGCATCGGCAGGTCGGTAAATGGCTTGGGACTGCTTGTGTGTGTGAATGTTGTTCTTTTTCCGTTGGGTCTTCTCTTGCAGCTTGCAGCAAGCCACTTGGCAGTCACAAATTACACGTATACGGCTTATACTGCCCTGCTTTTTCGACAGGCTTGGGCAATTGCAACTTCCACGGTCCTCAACTCAACATACTCTTTGTGTAAGCATTTCAAAGGTGTGCGTGTGTGTGTGTGTGTGTGTGTGTGTGTGTGTGTGTGTGTGTGTGTGTGTGTGTGTGTGTGTGTGTGTGTGTGTGTGTGTGTGTGTGTGTGTGTGTGTGTGTGTGTGTGTGTGTGTGTGTGTGTGTGTGTGTGTGTGTGGGGGTGGGTGTGTGTGTGTGTGTGTGTGTGTGTGTGTGTGTGTGTGTGTGTGTGTGTGTGTGTGTGTGTGTGTGTGTGTGTGTGTGTGTGTGTGTGTGTGTGTGTGTGTGTGTGTGTGTGTGTGTGTGTGTGTGTGTGTGTGTCTGTGTGTGTGTGTCTTCGTGTGTATGTAAAATACTGCAGACATACAGACATATATCACGTGAACTTTCTGTTTGTTTCCAAACCCAATGGAAGTTCATTTTAATGCTATAACAAGCCCAACAAATTTGAACTGCAAAATCATCAAAATTCCTTGATTTTCAACCGCACCAGTGGAAGTCCTTAAAAAGCTATGTCACCCACATGAAGGCTATATATTCAAAAACAATTCAAATCCACCAGATGCCATCTACGCGCAATGCAAACAAAGGGAAAATGCTGTGAAGCGCGGCTTAAATGCCCCAAAATGTATTCCAAACCATCTAACTCCATATGTAAGTCTATGAAAAGTGCCAGACACATAGATGCATTGAGCAGCATGAGCACTGCATTGAACTGTTTTTTTACACGGACTTTGCATTCAGAAACCTGAAAATCTTCAGAAGCATGACAGTCCCTTGAATTGCACAAGCATCAAGGCCAGCCCATACAAATGAAACAAACACAGAGGCTAGCACATGTGTGTGTGTGTTCAGAAAACATTCAGGTTACTGACTTCATTCAGTCAGAAATTCGCTAAAACCGGTTCGGCTGCATTAAACTCCGGCTGAAACTGTATCCAAACCTCTGAACAATCCTTTCAAGTGCCTGAGACCAGCGGCAACCCATGAACATCTGCAGTGGGAATCCTGGCACATCAACAATGAAAACCCGTTAAACTCTATTCACATCCTATGCAAGGTATTCTAAAACATGCAATCCACCGTTGTGAGCGGGAAGTCTTTAAGGTGCTGTCAAAATGCGGTTGAAATCTAGTAGGTTCGTATACAAAGACCATGAAGATCAAATTTGCGGTTAAGATGCTGTTAAAATCGCATGAACACCATGTTAAAGCCGAATTCTCAAACGAACAAGAGCCGCTCCGTTCCAAAAACAACTGAAGCCACTTACATGCTGCCAAGAGAATATTCAGTACTAAGTTTGTATTCCTACACCCCTCCCATAACAGAAAAGAAGCCAGTCTCAACATGTCTCAACTAACTTCCAGTGGAAAAACAGGCGATATGCCACCAAACACTACTCTACTTATGCAGGCCCTACAATAACCCAATGCCTAATGTCACAGTCGATGGCGTTTCCTGAATGCACACATTATTTGTGATATAGAGATATGCCTAACAAGGCCCGACACTAAGAAGGAAAGACTCTGCATTTACCTCCGAAAGACACAACCCTGAAACCCTATAGATCCCTTTAAAGGAACCCTTAAGGATCCCTTTAAAGGAGTCGGAGCATGTCGGAGACAGGGGGCCGAGAATTCCATTTCGCGGCTCTGCCGCGGGGAAGAAATCCGCATACAGGGGCACCGTAACTCTGGTCATGTACAGCAGCCTGAGCTGATAAGTTGGATACTGCCCCCATACAGTAACAGTCTATAATAGGGCTACTATTAAGGGCCCAATACTGATAAGCAATATGGAAGCCGAAACAAAATACATGCCAATACTGTTTCATAAGGACTACTTAACAGAAACGTGTAGCTGTATGCCCCAAGACCTCATGCTAGTTATGAGGGCATATTGGGGCCTGACTCCGTGGTAATGTTGCTCGTCGCTCACGGTTGGAGAGCTTCGGGTTTAAACGGGCATAGCGTTCACGACAATCGATCTGAGGGACCTCGGCTATGCCTGTTCGGGTTAAAATTTATTTAAGTGCGAGGGAAGTCAGTACTCCGAGCGAGCCTCTCCAGCGATACGGCCTTGGAAAGTCTACCACGCCACCCTTCTCACATTCTCTTGTAGACTCTTACATGAACAAACAGCGAAACCTTCGCAACACGGGTCCTGGCTTCAGAGCTCGGGATTCCTGCATCGTGCTGCCACAGCAGCATCAAGAAGCCCAGCAAACAGAAGATCGCATCATGCCAAACCTGGCATCTTGTGTGCTGGCATCTTCTGCGAAAAGCTCGAGTTAGGAGAAGTCGTTGGGAACAGGCGGAAATCCTTTCTTTGGCGATTCAGCGCACGCTATCAGATCCTCCAGGAACCGGAGTTTGAACTGCAGGAGTCATGGGTCAACCCCTTGCCAAGTGCTGCAAACTCTGCGCCAAGGCCCACTGGTAGAACACAAACGTCCTCCGTTGTTCCCGGGAAAGCAGATCCAGACTCATTAGTAGTTAACAAGACGTTTCCGTCTGAATTCACCAACCCCAGTACCCAAATGACGCTTAATAAAGGTGCAAACCAGCGAAACAATGAAGTTCTCAGCATGAGAACAAAGACACATCCCCGTTTCGTCCTTGTAAGCTCGCCCGGAAGTGAACTTGGCGAAACACAGAGGAATTGCAGCCAGTCCTCGTCGTCCCAATACAGCGAGAGGAGGGGAGAAGTGGGGCTGCAGGATCTGAGGGTGTGTAAAGCTGTATAGGGGTGTTGTATGCGTGTGTATAGCTAGCCTTCACTGGGGATTAAGCTTGATCGCTGAGCCTGCTCAGGTCGTATGCGAGGAGATACAGCGAAACGTAGACGAAGCCATGCAGCAAGGGAGACCGATTAATGAACAACCGATGTGGAAAGACTGCACTGACTGCGCCTGTGGCACTTTCCTTCCTGAACTAGAGACGCATATGAAGTCGTGTCGTATGTGAGTAGACTATTGTCAAAGTGGATTTATGTCCGCATTTCTGTGGGTGTCGGAGAAGCCGGCAGTTCTACTTGCGCTTGCCTATGACAACTTCACCATTCCCGGTAGATGAGAGCAGCCAAAGCATCCCACGTGAGCCAGCAGAATCTTTGGTCCCACCGCTGGCAGCAGAAGGGAGGTCCCCCGCGCGAAGAAAATGATCGTCATCGCACCGAACATGCCTTGTCAGTTCGGTTTTAAGACACCTTCTACGCCCTTTGCGCAACACCGAAAGGCTGATTGTGGTCGCTCGGGTCGTAGATCGAAGTGCACAACTAAATAGTGCTATTGAAAACGCACCTTGCGTGCCTTTGCAGACTTCGGGCTCAAGCAGCATACACTTGAGGATTGTCGTAGCCTCTCCCATCCTAGCGGCCTGTCTTCCACACCCTGGGTCGGTCCGACCAGGGGTGGTAGAGGTGAGGCTAGGAGTGCAGCACCCTTGTCCTCCACGTACGTTTAATCCAGCTGCCTTCAACTTCAGAGTCTCACCTGATGCCCTACCTCCAACCAGAGGTTTTTTCTTTTGAACGGCCAGAGGTTTAGAGTTTAGAGTAGCGGGCTCCCAACCCGGAACAAAAAGAGTGCCCCTGTTTCTTTCTGCTGCTCAGATCTTGGCAGGGAAGTGGAGAGACAGGCTTGCGAAAGGGATGGCAGGTACTATACAAGCCGCAATGATTGGAGTAGACTTCCTGAGGCTTCCATCTTATCACAACAAAGTACGAGGTACTCGGCTCTAATTACATAAACCCGGATCATCTTCAGGAGAGGCTCGATGCCGGGACCAGGCTGGGACAGATTCCACGGCACCTGCCTTGTCGAAGAACGTCGCATGTGACTCCTCTGGATACTGCATTTTGCTGAGGTTTGGGAGGATGATCAGGACTGCAACTTCTCTTCCTAGTGCTTCAAGACTTCTTCTTAGGCTCCGCTTCAACACTCGTCCTAGATGCAAGAGCATTCTCCTCCCCGTGGCACATATGCATGCAAGATGTTCACAAACGTGCCGAAAAACCGACGAAGCAACTGATGGGCATCCGACTCTTGAGCTGCAACCTTCCAAAACCCACCAGCAACAACTATCCTAATTTAATTGCAGAGGCCTTCATCACTAGAATTGGGTTTCGGGATGTAATATCTACTATAAGTATAATAAGGTACCCCCGAAACTGTTTGGGTAATTAACATGTAGGCTCCTACATTACCCTCAACCGCACCACTGAGGGCTCTCCTCTGACTTCGCAGTCAAGCTGGAAGCCTGCTTAGCTTAGTAGCGAGGCTTTGTCTGACACACAGAAAGACAAACAAACAACCACAAACACGCACACCGGCCGGGCAACGGGACCCTGCAGTTGCCGTTCGCGGAAAATAAGTGGTGACAGTCATGGTGTTAGTATTGATGTTGGTGCTGTTGCATGAAATGGCAAGGACCCACAGCCGGTCCACTTTGATCCTCGGGCTATTCAGAGTGGCAATTTCAGGACCAGCACCATTGCGATCACAATCGACACCAAAAGCACAATCAGCAGCATCACCACCAGCACTATCGTTCTCCTCATCACGGCAATCATCGTGATGAGGATCTGATGAGGACCATGATTACCAACGTTAGAAAGATATCAACCGTGCCAATAACTAAGCATGGCTTCTCTTCACCACCAGCATCATCATCAGCAGCACCAGCAATATCACAATCGCAATGATGGTGACGGTGTGCTCTATCCCTTAGTGAAAACAAGGACGCCGGTTGTTGATCATGACGACGATAAAATGAAAACGTTGATACCTACGGCACCGCTCAAGACGGTCACGTCGCCAGCTGCTACTGTAACAAGCTTTCGGACAAGGTCAAAGGCCAAACTGTCACATGGGTAGTTGTCAAAATTAAGGTTTCTTTTGGGGTACCCTAAATAATAGGTGCCGTATTATAATAGGGACCCAAAAAGGGACCATAATTTTGACAACCACCCATATGTGCCTCCGATTTCTGTGCCGCCGGCGCTCGCACTGCTCGCCGTTGGCATCGAGCGGAGCCTTCACCGGACTCCTTCGGCTTTGACATCAACACAACCTATAGTCTCCATTGTAGTTCCTTTTTTTGGTTAACCAAAATCTCGATTATAGGGTCCTAACCATAAAACTGGTTAACCAAAAAAAAGGAACTACAATGGAGACTATAGGAAGGGATCCTTCACCTGTTGCAATAGGAGACCTCCTCACCGGCTGGAGATCTTCTTCGAAGATCCCGGAGTGAACTGACTTAGCAAGGAAGACAAAACGCACACGTGTGCTCGCATAAAACTGGAGGGGCGGAGTGATAGATCAACCCAAAGACCGATGGGCTTCGGCTCTAGTTTCAGGGCTCGGAAGCAAAACTGTAGCAACTGGGCCTCTGCATCCCACTCCCCGGACGTTGCCATGCCCAAAGAAAGTCAGGAGCCATTGACAAAAAATTCTCCAGGCTTTGCTGCTGAAGCACGATCACTCTGGCGAGTGCTTGGGGGAAGCCTGGGCTTCGACTCATGCCGCTTCCGGTCCGCTTTGAGGGCTCAGGCGCCACCCTTGATGCGGAGACAAACCAGCATTGTGAGTAAAAGCTTCGATTAAGAACCCGGACGGCTCGACCCTGGAAAATGCCAGCCTTGCCACTAACCTTCGAGCACTCTTGGATCCACTAAGAGAGGCGCAGTCCTTCGCAGAGGCTCCAGCAGGAGATGTCATGGCATCCACCTCTCCACACCTTCCTCGATACTCACGCTTGCTCTGTTTTCAGGTGCCCTTTTGTCCATGCTTCTACCCAGCAACCCCGACAACGACACAACCCAGACGAAACCGGAGTTACATGTACTCGTTGCTCGTGAATCCTCCAGTCGGTTAGATGTCGAGGCCCTAATTTGGCTATGACGCAGGGTTCTGAGAGCCATGTGCCTGCAACAAGAATGCGTCGCATCCGAGAGCATGCCTCATCGTTCGGCGCCACCCCAGGAACATGGCAACAGCCATGACTAAAGGCAATCGATGCCGCGATTTGCAAGGTCAATATGGGTGCTGCCACATACCTCTTGATGTTCCTCTGCTTGTTTCTGGCTTGGCTTGTTTCATTCAAGTGGCAGTCTTTTTCCTTCTCTTGGGACATCACACACGTTCTCTCTCTCTCTCTCTCTCTCTCTCTCTCTCTCGCTCTGCCATGCCATCCTCAAGAGTCGCTAGGAACTACTGTATTCTCAGAATGTCTGGCTGCTATTGTGGCGACTTTCTTGACTTTCGCGACTGCTGTGCTTGGAACTGTGTGGATGGGTATGCCAATGCTACAGATGGGCTGACCAGTGCCTTGTTGTGCAATTCGCTGCAGTAGACACTAGAATCATTAGAGCAATGGCGAAATTGTGTGCATCTGCTGCCTCCCTCTCTCTCTCTCTCTCTCTCTCTGTATAGATGTCTCTCGGTACTAATATTCGCGCAAGAAGTATCCGACCACGACAGTTCGGACCTCTGAAACGAAAATTCACGAAACCCCTCCATCCAGCTCATGGTTCATGGCTTCGGGTTTCGTCTGCTCAGGGATTCACTACTCCACACAGATTCTCACATGTAGCACATTCCAAGAACCCGCATTGAAGCCGGTGTTTTGGTCAAGGGCATGTTCAAGCCTCCATTGTCTGCTGCAGGCACAATCCAGGCCCCATCCGGTGTTTTGGGAACTCAGACAACTAACTACTCCATGCATAAGCCTCCAGGGCTGTAGACAGCTGCCATGTCGATACTCGGCTTTCCCGATACTCCGGCAGTGAATTCTGGTGGCAGAACGATCAAATCAATCTCCTGCAATGGTCCCGGCAGGGCTGCAAGTGTAGGACGCTACAGCTGGAGCAGCATTGTAACTGTAATATTCAGTACCTGAAAACCTGATGCAAAGAATGTCTACTGTGCCCATAAATCAGGAGCTGTTCTGCAAAACGAGGGGCTTGTCAGTTGGATATTGTGCCCAAGCACCCTCTCGTCCACAGAAATGCAAATCTCTCGGACGATGCCGTATGGCTGTGACTCGAATCGAATTCAGAGCAGCAGTCCCTAATATAGAGGCCTAAATAATTAGAATATGGTTTTGGGGCCCATTATAATATAATGATAATAAGGAACCACCAAGATGTTGTTGGTAATTATTGAGGCCGCTCTAGTATGGAACTGAGGCCGTCGTGATGTTGTCTTGCGAAAACGTCTGTGGTCGGAGACCGAATGTCGCAGCTGGTAACACAAGGGCCATGATAACATGGGGACTCTCCCGGAAAACGTCGTATCATACCATGTCATACTTTAAATATATAATAAAGATTACCTTTTCGCCTATCTTACACTGTAGAAGTGATGGAGAGGAATTAGAGTGCCGCTCGTTCAGCGGCAAAGTCTTAGTCTTGCGAATTCAACGCTCCTGCATCTTGCTTTCTGCCGGAGCCCATCCTCGCGGGTGATGGACTCTAAGAGCCTACCTATATAGTCTCCATAACCAAAATCTCTATTATAGGGTCCTAACCATAAAACTGGTTAACCAGAAAAAGGAACTACAATGGAGACTATAGGTAAGACCCTATGCGGCGGAGACCTAAGCGGTCCCCATCAACAATCGCAGTCAATAGCTGCTAGCAGTGGCTATAATTTCGTGGCTATCGTCATCCAGATCAACAGCCCGGCCCATGACAGCACAATCGAGCAACATCATCACCACTATCCGTTCTCACGAACACGACCAACTGACAAACCATATCGGATGACACGCGACCATCATCATCAGCAGCATGCTCCCCAAGCTTACACATCTTTGAAGCATGGTCCATGCTTTTCAACATCTCCACCAGACCTGGATGATGTTGACGTTTCCTTCCGAGCACGCCAGCACTTGCCTTAGCTCCCGTCTATTGGGTGTCCTCAGAGCAACACCATAACCTTGTGCCACGCCTTGGCGCATAGCCGCACTCTGATGTAGCTGGGGTGGTCGACCTCGTGGGTATTGGCTTAGGGAGGCCAATAAAACAGCCTTGGTGCCGCCAATCTCCACTTCAAACTCCACCAGATAACGGCCTTTGCAGGACAGGTTCTGAGCTGTAGGGGCTTGGCAACTGTGCCGTCTAGCCTCTTTGACCGACGAAGCCTAGAAGCTAAGAGTGTGTCTATGGTTCCGGACAAGCCGACACACTGCCTGCCTGGTTCGCGCGGCTCGCAGTAGAGGACCGGCTCTAACTTGCCGCTGCTTCGGCAGTAGACCTCCTCGGAACAGACTGGGAATACTAATACTATGCTATAATAATACTACTTTACTATAATATACTATAAGGCCCCACCCTGGAGGCTGTGAGCAGTTGCCCAAAACTTTGACAGACTCCTAGCCCATCACTAGCATGTATGGGCCAACTAGGATGGTACGTTGGACAACTGTACCCCTCCATAGATTATGCGCCGGTGACCTTCGACACAACATTCGACGTGCCAATATCGCAGACCTGCCAACAGCAATACCTCCGCGGTTCCCAAAGACGGGACATTCAATGCACAAAACACGATCGGTCTATCGACTATAGGCCAGGCACGTCCACCGGCCAAGATGGCGCAGCCGCTGCGAAGTTGCAGCATGCATCCATCTCCTCCTTCTAGAGTGATTGAGCACGTCTTCTAGTGTCCACGGCAAATTGTCCGCTGTACTATTTTTGGGTTAAAGCGTATTGTATATATATATATATATATATATATATATATTATATATATATATATATATAGATATATATATATATATATATATATTTATATTTATTTATATTTATATGAGGACCCTGCAAAGGCTTAAAATGATCAAACCCTCAAGAATGGGGATTATAGGTACCACGTGCCGGCGTCGCCCTCTGCAATTCTGCATCGCAGAAAGCGTCTATAAACGAGTGCATGTTGAACAACTGGGTCCTCAAATGCATCAAGCCTGCATCAAGTACTAAAAGAACAAGCAAATGTGCATGCACAGCATATGTGCGAATATTAAACATATTAAACATGTGCGGATGCAGATCTGCATAAACCCTGTGTGTGCGCACAGCATGCAGGCAAAGGCTAGCGGCTAGCTAAACCCATTGCAGATCTCCTCAGCCTCAGGGAGCGAGGCATAGTCGTCATCGTCACTGCTCGGCTCGCAAGCATCTGAGCTCCAGCTTTGGCACGATTTCAGCTGCAGTTTGCGGCTTGGGAGCAGCGGTGCTGGCATTTGCTCTGGTGGTGCGTGTGGCACTGTCCGCCAAGTGGTGCTGGTGCAGACCTGTACGTGGCTGGCATGGTGAATGATTGATTTCGCGGGTTGCCGTCGTCCTGGTCATTCGCGCTTCCCGTTGTTCCTGCTACTGGTGATGACTCCCACGGCAGCGGCCGTGCTTGGCCGGTTTCCTCGCTAAAACAGCTGGCTGCACAATTATAATTTGCTTCTGCTAGTTGACAGAGAATGCTGCCGTGGCATTGGCTGGAGGGCGCGGTCTCTGTTTTATGAGCGGTCGTCCTCAACTTGAAGGGATCTTTCCAGATTCGCGCTGTGCTGATGTACTGCAGAGACAAGAGGATTGCAAGAACAAAGCTCCGACGAACCTTCAAGGACTTGCAAATTGTCAGAACGCTGACCTGGCAAATTCCCAGAATCCGGAAGCTTCAACAGCAGCCCTGTTCCCTCCAAATCACGGCCACAGCGGCCCCCACGAGGAGCGGCTAAGGAGGAGATGCCAGCACCGCCTTCGATGCGGTAGTAGCGGTACGAGGTATGCCCGGCCTGCAAGAGAGCCACCCGACCCTACACAATGTTTGCCAAATCGCGGAGCTACTCTAGGAAATCCTGAGCCAAGGAGACGACCTGACATCTCGGAGACCGGAACTCCAGCGAGGTTATCAAGGCATGTAGCTGAGCCACACAAGAAAATTGAGCTCAAAGCGTGCAACTCTCCGCATGGACCCCGGCTTCCCGAAACTCCAGGCCAGCCTTGAGCTGCAATTCCCCCTTGTCGTTCGGCGTTCGAAGCTCGGTGGGTGTGTTCCTGAACCCAAAAGCACTGAAATAGGCACCCCCCCCGGCAATAGTATAGGCAATTATGAAGGCCTCTATATTGGGACGAAGAGTCGCAACCACGCACAGCCTTGTCGCGCAGTATCATGCAGTATACTGGGACAGGCAACTAACAAGCGCCAAAGCGCAACGGTGAAGCCTCAAGCAAAGGGCCAGCCCAAGCGATGCAGTACAATGGAATCGGTGGCGGCGACTTTGCTGCCAACCGTCCCTACAAAGAGCACCCTGTCAGAAACAGAAGAACTTCCGGATGGAGAATCTGGGCTTCCAAGAGTCATGATGTCCAGCAAGTTGTTGGCGCCATTGATAATCACGATATTCCTGAAGGGAGCCAAACGGGTGAAAGCAGATCCCGACTACTTTCAGCTTGCACGTTGCTTGGCGAAGCAGCAACTTGCACCTGCCCTCTTGCTCTGGCACCTTCGGCGAACTGCAGTATACAGGAATCCTATCCAAAGGTCTCGCAGCATTATCCCTCAGTTCTACCCTACGCACTGAGTCTTTCTACCTGTTAAAAGTCTGAAGTTCTCGAACGGCTAGATGAGGAAGGTAATTAAACTGTCGGGGAAGCAGCATCCACGCACCATGCACACCCACGGCCTTGAAAGGCCAAGAGTTCAGCTTCCTTTCCCTAAAACTGCACATCCCACATTCCATGACTTGAGCCCCAAAACCCTCTGGCATAGCCATCTTGTACCCAACACGAAGAAGTTGCAAGACAAGATTTTTGAAAGACACTGAAGTCAGTGCCATGTTGCCAAGCATGGTCCGCAAAGCCATTTTGCTTGCGAAATTTGTCGACCTTGCAGGAGTTGCCTTCTTGGTTGCGACCACTCACTGCCAAACGAATTCACACACGAGGGCCGTTGCAACGTCAGAATGCTGCAATGGTGTTGTGAAGTACTGCCGAACCTCGACGCTTACTGTTTGCTGTCCCCGCCACTTCAGCCACCGACATCTCACAGAGCCAAACATCACAGTTCCCAGGGATTAGATGGAAACGGCGTTTTGGGCCAGGAAAATAATAAGCTGAAGTGCAGCAGGGCCACGTTGGTTACATCAGGAGGGACGATGACTCCAGTGAGTGCTGCGCAATCTGCCACCTGCAGGAGTGCAAAGGTTCCGGAAAGGGCAGGCAGACTACCCTCAGCCCAGAAAGCCGGAAATTTTGAACCGCCTTTCTTCGGTAAACCTCAATGATTCTAAAATCGCTGTAGGGGCGAGCGGACCACTACTGTGTCCCAAGATGTCCCACAGCTGGTGAACACATGAAATCCTGAACCTGTGCATCTGTGAGGCTTTCAAATCCCAAAGCTGCAGGTGGGGTGTGGGGGGGTGTTCTGTGTTCGACTGATCAGGCTTGGGGCATGACGATCCCGTCGCGAGTGTGCTCGAGGCGAAATTATATGTTCAGGCTTCAGGTCGTCCCCCTGTTGCTGATCTGTTGAACTTTGTTGACCTTGGTATCCGGATTTTTGTGTTAGTCTTCGGGACTGAGCCATCATTACGAACAAATACTGGGGCATGTGACAGTTATAGTATGTATGGTTACGGTGTCTGATCATAGCAAGATCTGATTCGGCTTTCAACATCAAATCTCAGCCTAGCCCACTAGTGGAGACAGAAACCTGCCAGCGCATTCCAACTGTTGAGCCAGCAAAGTCTGAAACAGAGGACCCTGGGCCCTGGGCCTAGGGTTTCGGTGCTCCCACTCGGACAAGCCAGGCGAGGCTAGTGGTTCAGGGTTTCGACTCACACACTCGCACAAGGCAGGCATGGCTTCAAGCACTAAGTCCGCTGAGCTCAGGGTTTAGGGTTTAGGTCAGGTTCGCTTTTAACGCCTTCAGTTCGTCCATGAGGTACTTGAAGAGCAGAGTTCGGTGGCGGCACATACCAGCTCCGCTGAACCGAACCTCGGTCTTCCCGCAGGAAGTTCAAAGGCTCTTCTGTTACGTCATGCTATGGTTTCAGAGCCTCTAAACTATGGGGGGGGGGGGGCATTGGGATTCTGGAGGCATCATTTGCTGAATATCGCTGAGGCACGGATGTTGGAGAAGTTGCGTAAAACCAAAACAGATGTATACAAAAACATATACATGTACAGATTACGCTTAAGTGGGCACGCAAAAGACCAACAAGTCAACAAGGACAACTGCGTGACTACTTACACACACACACACACACGCACAAATCAGACATACATACATACATACATACCTAATACATACATACATACATACCTACCTATGCACGGACACATACATACATACATGCATACATACATACATACATACACACATACATATTTATATATATATATATATATATAGTCACTGATATTGGTATCTATACATATATATATATATATACGTATCATATTATATTGTATTTTATTACATTATATTATTTATGTCCGCGTATCGTCCCACCAACCACCCGCGCCTGATTCTATTCATTTCTATGCATCAAGGCTTCTGTGTCATCGCCTTTTCCTAGTTCCCGAGCGCAAGAGCCTGTAAAGGATAAGAGTGACACGCTCGTCGGCAAGTTGCACGTGGCAGATTCTACAGGATCTTATTTGGCTTCCTGTACACAGTTTTCCTCACGATTTCTTTTCATGGTTCAAGAAATTGGGGATTTCAGGCCGAGTCTACAACTGTTGGAGCCCAGGAAATCTGGGCAGCTTGGAAAACCCAGCTGGGAGAGTGGCTGCACCCCGAGAGGGAGACCAGAGATTGCTTCTTTCTGAACTGATCAAGGTGCTTGGATCAATTTCAGCATCCCTGAAAAAAAAAAGAACCACCTGGAGTCTAAGGCCTACAATAGGGGCCTTAACAATTAGGGCCCTTAATGCTATAACTCTAATAAGGAACCCCCAACATGGTATAGGCAGTCATTAAGGCCTCTTATTAAGGCCCGCGCAAGGATCCAAAAAGTAGATCCCTTAATGGGGGTACCTATAGAGTACCCTTAGTAGTATAGGGCCCCAAATTAGCGGATCTACTTTCTAGATCCTCCCGGGCCCCTTTATTGCCGACCTTCATCTTTCTGAGAATCCGGCTCCAGGCTGCCGCATCCTTTGTGCCAGGACAAGAGCTCACGCGGCCCTACCCCTGTGCAACTGTTAGGGTTTAGGGTTTTGGGGTTTAGGGGTTCAGGGTTTAGGGAGACATGCCACGCTCATTTTACCGGCCTAACCGCAAGGCAAGACGACCAGCTTTGCTGCATTTCGAGGCCAAGCATCAGCTTTCCAATGTGGAGCGAGTCGCCCACCTGCAGCATCCGAGGTAGCACAGCTCTAGGGCGAAATTTATCCCTAACTTCGCGACCCATGCATCCTGGAGCTCTTTCTCGAAGCAAGCTTGCACATTGTCCCGCACTCCAAGCCCAATTCATCCCTTACTCTGCGGCCTCTGATCTGACGTCCGTTTCTAGCCGAGATACAGGCAAGGCCAAAACATCGATCCGCTTTTGCCATGTCGAGGCGACCTCGTCGGGCGTTTTTGGGTGGTAGTTTTAAGGGTTGCTGATCGATTAAACTATACGGCCCCAAAACTCTCCCCGAACTGCACAGAATGGCAGTCAAAGCTTAGGTTTCGTGATTACACCATTGTCCATGCGAAAGCTCGCCACTATGGCGTGGGCGAAGGCCTGGGACTTGCAGAGGAGTCCCTGTCATAGTTAGGCGAAGGCTCTGTTCATGATCGAAGATGAGTGGAGCTGAGGTGAGGGCTTTGGGATCCAGACCGCCGAAAGCCATGCTGACCTCCTTGGCAACCTTAGAGGAGATGAGAGTTCGGTTCATGCTTCTTTGCCCATCAGCTGGCGATGAGGTAACCCGGATGCTGCCGATAAGCTGGAGACAGCACTCTAAGCGGTGGATCGCAAGGCATCTTTCCTGGAATACCGCCTACCCTAACAGGACTACCGGAGTCCCCACGAGATTGAAAAGGAAGAACAGCATGTGAGCTCAAAAACTCATCTTCTTCATCACCATCACCATCACCATTATCTTCATCGTCATGGTAGGAACTACAAGGGGAGACCCCAGTCTGAGACGGCAAACTCCTCGTCTGAGCGCAGCACCAGGCGCACCATGTCTTTCTGATCGCTCTTCCTTTTACACTTCGCCTGGATGAAGGTATTGGGGCAAAGGTGGTTAGTCTTCGGCATACACGACTGTGGCTTGTCAGACTGGTAGCTGGCTAAATTCGATGACCACAGCCGCCAAGTTTGCACGTGGGCACTGTGAACGGGCACTGGGTTTGGCACAGTTCTTGTTTCTGGTGGTATGATCTTTCACACAATCACTGAAGGTTCCGGCAACGACGAAAACGGGCTCTAAAAGCGTGTCCTCGCATTTGTCTAGCGGCTTTCAGATCTTCCAGAAACTCGGCAAGGACTTTGTCCTCCTTCTTGTTGAAGACCTGCGTCGTATTGAGGGGGAGCAGGGGATCTTGTCTACAGAGTTTGGGGCTTCCCGTGCCACCATGTTGTACAAAGATTTTTGCCACTCGCATAGCCGGAATCTATGCCCGGAGATTTTTCCCCTTACTTAGCCAGAACGAAGCCCGCTTTGCAGGGTCTAGGATTTACGGTATAGGATTTCGGAGGTCCTTAACCCCTAAACCCTAAACCGTCGGTTTCTGTGTGGTGCCACAGGATCTGCCCCACGCTTGCCTTTTCGCACCAGCCCTGAGATCCAGCCGTGTACCGTACCTATTGTACTACCAGTGGGTGCGTCCGGCTACTTTTTTCTATTCGTGGGAAAAGGTATACATGTTCTCCGGTACGGAAAAAAAGTAAACGCGGAAGCATTCTTACTTCATCGATATCAACCCACGGAAACAAGCTTGCTTCGATCATGATTACGGGCTTAAAATGCTCAAAGGCGTGGAACAGTTATTAACATGTAGAGCCGCCAAAACCGTGCTGCACACAAAAAGTAAGCGGTACGCCTAAAAAGTAAGCGAGTACGGGTAAATGTCGACATCTGAGTACGGCTTTTTTTCACCAAAATGTCGAACGGGTACGGGTTGAGTACGGGCCGTTTTGTCAACATATTTGTTGACATTCGGGCCCTGTACGGGTTAGTACGCTTTTTTGTGTCTGCACAAAAAGTATACGTTTTGTATTCTGTGTGAGGCATACACCTGGGGTTTGGGACGATCGGTTTCGGATTTGTAGCATGGACAACCTGCTAAACAAGGCTAGACAAACAGATAAAATCGATCCGAACATAAGCCTAGAAAACAGTACACCGAATCAAAAAGTAAGCGTACTCATCTTAAATGTAAGCGGGTAGCGCAGAATCGAAAAAAGTACACGTTCGAACTTGCAGGTATACCATACGACGCTATGCTATGCTACGCCATACCATCCTTTAAAATATTACTAAAATACATACGATAATAAGCACCAAGAGGCTGTAAAATCATGTGCTACACATTACCACACTATAAGATTCCAGACGAACATCCCCAGGACTCGATGGCAGCCATGGAGCCAGGAACTCCCTGGAGTAGCGCGCGCAGAAACCATCTCCGATGACGTCGTCGAAATCCAGGCGCCTCCCAGGAGAATGGGTTGAGGGTAATTTGTAGGGGTCGTAATAATTACCTATCTTATTGTGGGAACTTTCTTTTTATAGTTATAGTATCATATGGGCATCTTTTTTCCATCATATTTGGCAAGGACGAAGCCCGCATTGCAGAGTCTTCGGGTTTTGGGTCTGTTTTGCATCGGGTTTAAAGGTTAGGGTTCAGGTGTTAAGGTGTGTTCATCTGTCTTCCGAGCTTGCTCATGTTTAGGAGCTGATTTTGGGGGGGAGTTGGAATAGGGTTCTGGGGTGTACGATGGACCTAGAATAAGGGGCTATTGTATTAGCAATTACTGCTCCTGCAGATCGTTGGGAACTCCCTATAAAGCCGAAAGCATCGAAGCCCAGACAAGTGAGGTTCATATGAGGATCTCAAAGCCAGGAAGCTCGTACCTGCATGTGCAATCTGTTCTAGAGAAGTAGCTAGGAGCCGCCGTTGCTACCAAACAAAAACAAACACGAGACCTCAACAAATAAGTTCAACAAGCGACAGCTCCGTGTATTGGGACCTACATGCACTGTTACATGGCCGAAATTCACAAGTCGAAAGAATGCAGCCCAAAACCAACCCAAGCTTTGGGGCTTCTCCGAATCTATCACTGTAGACTTTGGGTGTGCCGTTTGCAGGTCGAGGTTTGGGGTTGGAGCCGGAGCTTCAGAACACCCAGCACATGACAACTTGTGAGCCCAGAACTCTGCACCGCCCTCAACCACCCCGCTCCCCCGGCACCCTGTTTCTTTCCATTTCCAGGCTCCAGGGCCCTTCCAAACCTCGAGACGAACGTTGTTTAGAGCTTAGGTCGGCGTTGGGGACCCTGAAGTTACTGTAGGTTACTAGGCAGCTGACTTGCTGCAGCATCAAGCTTGATGAGGTCCGGTCACACCCGATGCACCACCCTATAGAGAGCGGGACATATGAGTCGAGTATGTATAAACTACATAACGTGATACAGAGTGCTACACATTGGCATTCATTCGCAGAATGACCCGAGATGGTACGCACTACAGAAATCTTGCTTGGGGCAGTCTGCCGATATAAGGCTGTGGCGTGCGACTCTTTGAGTTCATGGCAGGCTGCTGAGGGTGCTAAGGTTCCTGAAACCCCATACCGTTAAGCTCTGGAATTTGCAGTGCGCGCTTGCTGCTTGTGGCCAAAAACTGAAAGCGATCATAGCTGAACCGTTTGACTTGTCAGCTCTGCCCTCTTGTAGTTCTGGTTTTGAAATGAACCAAAACCGTAGGTAAGGCGTGAATGGACAGGTTTAGGTGACGGCCGGTGCCGGTAAGAACACCGAGTTTTGGCAAGGGTAGGGGACATTGTCGGGACATCACTCTCTGCGAAACGAACGAGAGAGTGTGTTTTATGCTGGAATGGTTGGGTGAGTCTTCATGGCTGCCAATAGTACTCAGTCGCAGTGACGTGCCGTGCTATGCGAAACGAACCTCCAAGGCAGGGTTGAGGTCTTCCCAAGGTGGCCAACCCAACGAAAATCGCAAGCTTCAGTGCTGCATCCCTTCCTACTGCTTAAACCCTAAACCCTAAACCTGAGAGCACGGACTGGCACGGACCACAAAGAAGCCCCGGTGCCGGTACGTTGAATCATCTGAAGCACGAACTGAGACAACGCCACGCAGCATTTTTTTGACCGCATCGACCCCTTGTCAACATGAACAAGCAGGCCACGAAGATGTAATAGAAACATGTAGAAACAAAAGCTCCATCCCCTGAATCTCTCCAGCTATAGTCGTGACATTGCTTTATCATGAGGGCCCATTAAGACATTATGCAGAGACCCACCATTTGCAAACCTAAACTAAACCATCTTCGACCAACGTCGCATCGATCCTTCACACCATGGAGCTCGCTGCTCGACGGAAGGTCGCTGTAGGAACAGCTTCTCATGGGCCTCGCAGGCAGGGGACACCGTAAATGAGAATGGCTTACGGCTTGGTTTCAGATGAAGGTTTCTTTGCGACTTATGCCTTGTTGTTGTAAGCCGGGATTCCCTGTAGGTGTCCTGCAAGGCAGTCGTCCGAGGTAGGGTTTCTTGGTGAAACTTCCGGCAACCGCGTTGTGAAAGCATGTCTTTAGCCTTGTAGCTGGAGGCTTCCCACTCGTCCCATCACTCAGCTGTGATTCAGGGCCACACAGTCACACACCCGCGCCAGGAGCAACGAAGCAAGGATACCCTCAGAATGGCAGGCTCGTTTGGCCTGTTTGCGTATCTCCCCCATGCGTCCAGGGTGATAGCGGCCACGGGCATCGATAGTGCTTTCCTTGATTTAGCATCAGTGTGGCTGAAATCTATCTCCCGAGACCGCACAATACCATGCTTTTGTATCTTTGCTAAATGCACAGGTCATAGATGAGAACAAGTGTGCATGTACTTGTGTTTATAAACGTACAATATGTATATATATATATATACACACACACACACCTATATGTATATATGTATGTGTGTGTCTATATAAAATGTTTTACACATATACATATACATGTACATATACATGTACATATACGTATATCTGTGTAGATATGTATATGTATATATATATATATATATATATGTGTGTGTGTGTGTGTGCGTATACTCATAAACCGCATAGTACTTATAGCAGTAGGCAATACTACCGATACTACATGAACAAAAATCAACAAATCAAATGTGCACTGTGCTGCATGGGTGCATCCGGCACTGGCTTGCTCCTGGAAGGTGGTGGCCGCAGCGCCATGGCTCGGATGGATCGGAGATGTGCTGGAAATCGATACCGGAAGGCAGCCGAGGAAAGGAGAAATCCAGCCCGAACTTCCCAAATGATTGCGAAAAGGGTTTCAATTCTTGAAGCACAACGAAACCTGAAGTCGGGAGGTTGAAGACACAGCATCCTGAGCCCATGTGCCGCGGAGTCCTTACTTTCGGCTTAGAACTCCTTTTCCGAACGTCTGCTGTAAAGAAAGCATCCCGGCTAACATCAAGTAGCTCCGCATTCGCCCAATGTGGGATGTGCGAGGTGTCGAAGATCTCTTGTTGCTCCCATGACCGGCGGATGGTTTCATCTTAACTGAGGGCACTGGCGCCATGCCGAGATCTTTCTGATTCGAAAAACACCACCCAAGCACCTATTGATCAGAAGGCCTTGCGAATCTGTACGGTTTAGGATGCTCCCAGTGTACACTTTGTGCTAAACGATATCAGTATTCAAGGTTAAAGCGGCCGAACATAGATTCGTCGCATTGCAAACTTTGAACTTGAGTAGGTCATTGACCTTCACCCCCAAGTCAACGATGCAGTCCCCAATTGACTGTTCATAGGTCTGCTGCCGGTGTCTTGACTGCTCTTCGGTTGCAGTTGTGGAAGTGGCGCTGGTTGTGGCTTCCGTAGTCGATGGGATGTCTGGGGCCACGGCCCGGAGCCAAGACAAAGGACCCTTTCCCGAAAGAACATGGAAACAAACTTACCACTGGAGCCTCCCTTTCATAAGCCGTCTCTCGATGCTGGCGTCCGGGCTCCATGGAATCGGCCATGACATACGGGCCTCCAGCTGATGTTGTGGAATGAGGAACCATGATGATGGATCAGTATAATACTTATTATGATCTTTTCGAACCCGTGCTGCGCGGGCAGCTATTTTGGGGACTCCATTGACAAACCACGTGCCCGTGCTGCTAGGACCCACTGTGCCAAACTCTCAGCAACACCTAAAAATCTGAAGCCCATGAGTTTGTCGACCGGACTGTCGATCTATCAGCATTATGGCGTCGTTTGCCGGAGAGGAGCTGCTAAAACCAAGGCTTGTCACTCGCCGCTTCTTGAGAACTAACAAGGATCGGGGTCTGTTTCCAATTCTACACTTTCAGAAACTCCCCCACCTGTGAAGCTTAACGCTTACGGAAGTTCACTCCACAGGCGAAATCTTGCGGCTGCGCCATGGCCTGGTCCCAGCTGGCAGTTGCTCCTCCAAATCGTGAAGCAGGTAGTGTTACAACAACGCAACCTAGTGATACCGATGATGACGGACATGAACAACAGCTAAACGCCAGGATACACGTGCTGTTTCGGCTGACGACAAACAGTCGCACTGCTATATTGTCTATGTTGATGACGCTGATGATGATATCGATCGATCGATCTATGTATCCATCTGTCCATCGACCTATCTGTCTGTCTGTCAGGTTACCTGTTCAAACCCAGTAGCAACGAAGATTGCATCAGCAATAAGAAGTTCTGACAGCGACAGCAACAAGAACGATGATGCTCTTGTGCAAAGAACGTGCAGCTTTAACCGGCAGCAGCAACTGAGCAAAACACTGCGAGCAAAAGTTCGGTATATCTAAAAACAAGACGTACGTAGAAAGGTGCTAGCGATCGGTCGAGATCGAGGGCAGGACTATAGGGAGGTAGTCCCAAACACCGGAAAACAAACCCCAATCAACAGCCCAATCCCCCGAAACCTTGAGCAACATCTTCGGGGCGTTACAGGTTCGGGTTACCCTATAAGCCATGAGCTCCTCTTGCGCTCAGGCGAGGTCGGTTCTGGTGATGTTGGTCTCTGACTGGTAGCCTCCTCGCTGACAGATTCTGAGGGGGTTTTGGGGGCCGCGCAATTGGGGGGGTCTGGGGATTCTCGTGCGAGGTATGTAGAATTTCGGACACCGGACAAAGGGTCGAGTGCTTCATTGCTGAGTGGATTTCGTCTGGTTGTTGCTTGCGGCTAAGTTCTTGCAGCTGGGAGCATAAGGGCTGCGGGAGGGTTTGGGGCAATTTCTCAGCTACTGCAGGGCTGGGAAGCATGCTTGGTGATGCCATGAAACAATGCTTCCGGCAGAGTTTTTTGTTATTGATTCTGAATCTTTACCACTTTAGGACTATGCATATGCATATGGCAGGGCTGTATTGAACAGCTTCTGCAGGCTCCGTGTAGATCATCATCGCCTTTGGTTCCATTCATCTTTCTGTCGCTGAACTTCTTGTTGATGTCTCTCTCTGTAGTGCCCACCACCCCCACGCAGAACACTAACATGCCGGGGACCCTAGACCACTTCAAAATCGCACTGTGTTTGGAACAAGCCCCGCGGCTTAAACACTATGACGAACGACCACGACGAAAAGACGAGGAGGACCTCGGGCACGACAACTGCGACCCGGACGTTTAAGAACCCAGCCAAGTCTGCTTCACCGCCTGGGCAAGTAGAACACTAAAGCTTCAAGCTTAGACACACACCCTCCAAATCCCTCAAGTAGGTTCTGTTCGAGCGCTGACCCCAAACAACCTGGCCGAGACTGCACTGGAAGAGCCCCGGGCTCCTCCAACTCGGTCCGCGCGATCGAGTTGCTGGAGGGACTCGGGGATCGTGGCCTCAAAGCATGGAGTGCAAGGCTTCAGGCTAGGGCAGGCTAGAGTTCCCCCTTTGTTACAGCGTTTCTGTTGCTCCTTGTTGCGCAAAGGTTGATGGGTCCGTATTTCCGATGCTCTGGTCTCTTCTGCGTGTGATTCTGATCCCTTCACCACCGCGGAAGGTTTGTAAACACAGGCCATGCAGCCCTCACAACGTCAACTTCCAGTCTGCTGCGGTCACCCACAGCGCCAGTGCACAAAAAAACAACACACACACAGACAAAAACATACACACACACACACACACACGCGCGCGCGCATCCATCTATCAATCTATTTGCGTGTACACTTATACATATACACGCATACATACGCACATCCATGCATACATACATCTACACACGAACTTACACACATGCATACAAACATACGTACGTATATACGCGCGTGCTTGCATCACTTATACATACATACATACGTACGTACTTCATAGTTGCGCACATGCTCACATGCATACATACAGAAAACAGAGAAACATGCATGCATGCAAGCAAATAAATACATCAACATCATGCATAGTTACATGACGTGTACGTCCACACACACGCATACATACATGCAAATGCACTTGTACATGCACATACACACGCGTGCATACATGCCATCGTACCATCAAACCAAGGTATGGGCATACCAAACATAGATACATGCATGCGTGCAGTACAGACCATACATACGCTACATTGCTACATATCGCTACATACGATACAGACAGTACATGTCATGCTTACCATGCCTACGAACAAACAATCAAACAGTAACAGTAACAGACAAACTAACCAACAAGCACGCCCCTGCCCAGCACGAATCAAAATCATATCTGCCCCGAAAGAAGCCCAAATCACAAACAACACGTAAGCCTCAAGCCCGAAACCGAGGGACAGGTTAAGAAGGGAGGGAGCCTAGCAACACTGCATTGCCTATATACATAGAATGGACTCCCCAGCTTGGGGTTTCGGAATGGAGGTTATCTTAGCCGCAGCCATTGGGATTGTTCGCCAACGCGGCCCATTGCGAGCCTGCTTGGCTTGCTCCGGCTCTCCGGGGCGACCCTGACGTGCTCGGGAACGTAGAGTTTCAGAGGCTGCTGGACTGCTCGGCTCGGCGGAATGGTAATAAGTGGGATTCCACAGGAATAGGGGAGCTGCAGCCATCACCCGTCACTGTACATTGACGTACTTCGACCATGCAAGCAAAGGCCTGGGTTTCTCCGAACGATTGAAACTGTAGCCCTAAGTAGGCCTTGGCACGAAATGAAAGCGGCAAGCTCGAAGCTCGACAAAGAACCAAACCTACAAAAGTCACAAAATTCAATGCGACTTCAATAAGGAAGCCGTCAGCACACTCTGCGTCGAACCCTGTGGCCCGTGATTTCAGAACCGCCTTCTCAGCGTTCCGGCAGGTCCCTGAGAACTCCCAAGCCGCAAAATGAGGCTGGGATGCTTGACAACTGGGAGTTTCCGAAATAGGGGTACCTTATTTTGGGGTCCTTATTATAAGGATCCTACTATTTAGGGTACTATATTCGGGTCCCCTATTTTCGGAAACTCCCAACTGACTGACGTTCCAGAACAACCCCTGAAAAGGATCACCCCGGCTGGCCCACGGCGGCCTCGGCGATGTAGACCTCGGAGCGACTCCCTCCCAACATAGTACCCTAAATAGTAAGATCCCTTTTTGAACCCAGGCTCAAAATAGTAAGATCCTTACTGCAAGTACCCCAAAATTACGGTACCACAGACTTTCGGAAACCCACCATATCCGCCTTTCTGTGCCAGCATAACCCTGGGGCTTCCTGGTCTCTCCTCGCCGCCCGAATTTCGCGGCCGAGTGGGGTTTAGGGTTTAGGGTTCAGTGTGGCTTCAAGCTTGAACACCGCTTTTAGAAGAACAGCTTGCTGCGAAAAGCATGTGGCCAGGGCTGCTTAGGGCATGGGGATGTTTAGCCTGCTCATTGCACATGGTTGGTCGAGCATGTGCTGAGCGCTTTGGCGCAGCAGGTAAACTTTCGAGCGTTTAAGCCACGACGACGACGACGCTTGCTGCCTCTCACTTTGTTCCGTTGTTCCATAGATGTGGCTCTGAACATGCTTGTAGCTGGCACACTGCAAGCTGATTGACTCGTCTCAGTACCCAACCGCAGCTGCAAGCGGGTAGACGGCGCCCGCTCACCTCGCAGCAACGGTTAAGTTTCCGACTGATGTCGATTAAAGACCTGTGGACAGAGTTTAATCCTAGATGCCGTAATTGATAGGTCACGCTCCGCAGCAGCTGCACAGACACCGCCGACGATTGCAACATGCAGCAACGACGTATGGCTAGCTGAGTGGACGAATC